CCCTTCTCTCCACCCCCCGGTGCGATCGACGCTGTTATCGGGTTTCTTCCCGCCACTTTGCGAGACGCGCGCGCCGTCCCGGATAATGTTATTTCGCGTCACTCGCCCCGCCCGGCGCTGCAGCAGCCCCGGCGACGCTGACGACATTCTCTCTCTGTAGCGTCGTGCCCCCGTGCTGCAGGCACCACCAGGCCGCCGCCGCCGCGCCTACGCTCACCTACGACCGCTTCGCCAACCAGCCCTTCGACCCCGCCATGCACCGGCCCGTCTGCCGGTACCAGCCCGTGCCGCCGCCGCTGCCGCCCCCGGAGCCGCGCCGCCCCCTGCGGCCGGCGGCCGTGCGCCGCCCCTGGACCGCGCTCGACTACTGGTGGCGGCACTGTACCCACCACCGGCCCACCGTCCACTTCAAAGGTGCCCCCCATGTGTCACGGTGTGCCTGACCGAGGCCCGCACTCTCAAGGTCTTGCACCACGACCGCCAGCCACCCCGCCACGGGCACACGGCCGTACAGTAGGCACTGGCACCACCTGTGGCACCCCACCATCACAAAAGGTCTTCCTCCCCCTACCATGCACCCCCCCTGCACCCACCAACCTCCACCCTTCTGACTCTCTCCCGTATTCCCGCAAGTCAAACAGCCGGGTCTCTTTGCAGGTGCCTTCTGCCCGCATTTTCTTTGAATAACACAAACTTTTCGCCTCTCTTCGTTCTTCTTCTTCTTCTTCTTCTTCCGGCTGCTTGCGTTTTGGTGCGGGGAGCGCTATCCTTGCTCGCAAACTATCGACGTAGAGGTGGGCGCAGAGGAACTAGAAATTGTTTGAAACCTGCCAATCATGTTTCCTCTATAGTACCCCTTTTTTATAATCCTCCCAAAGCTGAAAAAAGTGACTGCAAAAGGTGGTGTGCACGTCTAGTTAAAATGCCCCGCCGATCCTCTCTGCCTTTTGGCTCAAGCCAATAAGCCCCCTTTCAAACCCAGAGCCTATAAAAAGTGAAAAAGTGAAAAAGTGAAAAAAAAAAAAAAAATCTGACGTGGGGCGGCGCTTTCATAGCGAGAAAACTGCACGTCCCATACGTCCCTCACCAGACCAGAGCACCCGTCCGAATCACCTCTCACACCCAGGGTGTTGGTTGTTTTTTTTCTCCCACTCTCCACGTTCACTTCACTCACGTTTCAGCTGCAGCGGTTGTGCGCATATTGGGGATATATACCAACTGCGCTTGTGCCGGCTTGTGCATTGTTTATTTTACTTTTTATACGATCACTCTCATGTGACATTAACTTTACCGCTTTGGTGGAGGAACTCTTTTATCCCATGTTGTTGTTGTTGTTGTTGTTGTGGATGGTGGTGGTTGATGTTTGGTGTGGTGGTTGTAGAGCCGGAGCCCGAGCTCGAGCTCGAGTTTACCCAGGCCCTGGCCCCCGCGCCGCCCCCGCCCCCCGCCGTCCTGCCTAAGGCGTACGAGTCGGAGCCAGGTAAAAAGCGCACCCGCGCGTGCGCGTGCGTGTCCGCGTGTCGTCGTGTGTGAGCTGAGCGTCGTTGTTCTTTATGCACGGAAGGAAAACGAAAACAATTCTAATGCTGGTTTACTGATATTAACAGCCGTTTTGTGTGTGCGTGTGTGTGTGAGTGTGCGCGAGCGCGCATTTGAACAATACCGAGAGTGGGAATCTGTCCCGTCCCTCTTTGTTTTTGTTTTTTCACTATACTGTACCGGATTGAGGGAGGCGGGCGGGCTTGCCTACCGTCGCTCGCCATGATATGCCTTACGGCCTCATGCAACTGAGTGATATGCGAACCGCCGTTCACACGTCTATGAATCAAGTACAGTTAAAGTCAAAAAGAAAATATTGAAGGAAAAAGAAGGACGAGACGGATCACTCACGCTGTATGTATGGGGCGTGACACACGACAACTTTCCGTTGTGAATCTGCGTCATTATTTCGCGTCATAAAGGAAAGGAAAAACGTGTCGTTTGAAAAGCAACGCTCAGTGAGGAAACTGGATGTGTGGCGTGTGGACAATGCGATGGAAGCGAAAAGTAATGCGATAGTGTGTGTGTACAAGTGTGCAGGTGTGCCTTTTTTTCTCGATGTTTGATGTGTTTTCTCTTCAGTGCGACATAATGTGACGTGCCTTTCTATGGAATGGCTACGGCTGGGGTTTTCTGCTGCTTATCCGCACTGTAAGAAGTTTTATCGTAAATGTGCGAGCAAACACCTGTTAAAACATCCAACACGAACTTTTCGTAATTTGTAGAGAACGATGTTAAATGGTGAAAAGTTCGTAACTTAATCTGCAGGTGTGGAATAAACACACTCGGGCATTTTTAACTTGCATTGGAGTTGTGACACCTAATTACTCTTATTCGCAATAGGTGGCGAAAAGTTCGTTTTTCACCTACAAACAGTTCGTATTTTCGACTTTACATACTGATCGTTAAATCCAAAAAACGAACTGTTCGTGAGGAATTTTATTGTGAAATTATACGAAAGCTGCTAACAGTGTGCCGTGTTTTCTAATCCTAAAACTATTCGAGCTTTTTTTTTCGGCCAGCTATGCCTTGATGTAAATGATTTTTTTTTAAACTTAACTTGTATTGCGTAGTTTCTTTGGCATTTCTGCAGCCTCGCTCTGTTAATCATAGGGATTAAGAGCCAACAGCAATCTTTTGTGCCAAATCCTTCGCATTGCACAAGTACCGGCTTCTTAATTTACGAAGGTTTTAAATTTCGTGGACACACGAGAACCACACACCATTTCCAGCATTCGCTGACGTTGGGTTGTGCAATAATACGCCGCTCTGCTCCGTTTTATACAGGGGCGCGCGCACGTACGCGGTATTTAACGAACGAGCCAATCAGAATGCAGCAGCGGTAAACTCGTTGGGTCGCGTCGATCATCGCAATCATGGCAATCAGCGTGCAATCATTATAATTATTGTCAGGGGGTCCTCACGTCCGGAGGGATTAGCGAGCGCAAGCGGGCCGCCGCGGCCCGGGCGTGCAATCGAGTTAACGTCACAAGTAATCGGCGGGTTTGGCAGCCGCGACACACACGGGACCGAGTACTGTTGCTGGGTGCTCCGCGGTGAATCTCGAGTAGGTCGACATTCGATTGGGGTCACATCGACTCGTGTAGGTTTGGAAATTTCCTAAATTTCCAGGAAAAGCTTAAAAAAAAATCAATTTCCCCACAGCCATTTTTCTGAAAATTTTCGGAAAACCTTCCAGGGTTTCTCTTACTCTAGACTCGTGCAATATCAGCATTTAAATGCGAAAACTGTCCAACTCATTTTTTTACAAGCAAGTTATTTCCACAAGCAAAGAAAAAAAAAACAAGTAATTTCCAATATTCGCTGCGAAATGCAAGACGGCATGCTATCGGGCACAGTCAGCCAGTGCAATCCGTGTTCAGAACGTTGTAGGTTGCGCGCGCCCGCTGCGTGAGGACACTTCTGCCACCCTCTCGTCTACGCGCCTAGCCGCTTCGCTGGCATTTTTCCGGTTTCGTCCTTGGGGCTTTCCCCTTCTCTCGCGTGTCATTACCAGCATTTAAAATGAAATTCTAGTAAAAACTCTACATTTTTCAGCATTTTCCAGCCTTTTTAGTGGACAACCATGAGCGCGTGTACAATTTTTATGGAAGAGGTGTGAGGCCTTTTTTTTTCCTTTTGGAATTGCGCACGCGTCTTGGGAGTCCTCCAGAAAATACGTCCGTTCCTCTCGGATTCATTAGACCCATTACAGGAGCTCAGCGCCTGCGATACTCGGGATGGGCCAGCCCGCAATACACGCACGCACTGCAGACAAGATGTTGCCTACCCATCAGGCGCTATGAGAGCCTTGCATTGGCTGAAGTCGACAAGGCCCGCAGCGTGGAGAATGACGGACGTACTTTCTGGATGATACTGTGCACATCTCGTAAAGAACGATTTAAATAAAATGAACACACCTCCACTTGAAAGCTACAGAGTGCGTCGGACCGTTAAACGTGTGAACGTCAGAGGCGAATAATTCGGAAGGATGAGCACCGGGCGGGCCGCCGCCGCCGCCGTTGTCGTCGTCGCCACCCCCCTGAGAGGGCGCTCGGTGAGGGGAGGGGGGGGGGAGCTTAGCGCAGGGAAGACCTATTGAAATGTCAGCACCCTGCAGGCTGGGGCGACGCGCGCGGGCCGTGGCGGGCTCAGTTTGCGTCGCGGCGCCACCAAGACAGAAGCATGTTGTTGTTGTCGTCGTCGACGTCGCCACGAACGGTTATTGTTGTTGTTGTCGCCCTGGACGGCGAGCGCCTCGTCCTGGGGGCCGACACGGTGAAGGGGCCGCGCCCCCGCGTCGCGTGATCGAGTCTCGTGTGTGTGTGTGAGAGAGAGAGAGAGCGAGTCGATCGTGAGCCCGACGCGATGCTCCGAGGCGCGCCGCGGGGCTAGAGCACCCTCCTGACGACGACGAGACCGTCGGGGAAGCCGTCGTGGCGCGAGCCCGAGGGTGCGGGCGTCCCCAAGGGGGAGCTGGCGGCGGTGGAGGAGGGTGCGTGGCGGTGGACGTGGCGACCCCGCGGGACGCGGCCATCCGGGGGGCGCGGCGCCCCGCTGGTGGCGTGGGGGTGGCGGCGGCGGCGGCCGGCGGCTGTTGGGATGGGCCGCCGCCCGTGCCCTCGCCCCGCGCCGCCCCGCGCGCCGCCCCCCGCGCTGCCCCACGTGCCTCGCCCCCCCAGCGCGACCACCACCACAACCAGCACCGCCAGCAGCAGCAGCAGCAGCTGCTGTTGCCCGACGCTCCCTGCGCCGGCTTCGCCCTCGGCCGGGGCGGGCCGCTGCGGGCCGTGCGAGGTAAAGGCTTCCGCCGGCGGGAAATTGCAATCCAGCCGACTGGAACGCTGCAGCGGCGCAGCGGGGCGGGGCGGGGCCTCGGCTGCAGCAATCACTCGGCTGGCGCCGCCCGGGACCGGAGGGGAAGGAGATGGACCAGGAGATGACGGCGGAGGCGCGCTGGCGGACGGGACGGGATGGGCCGTCGGGAAGGGGCGGGAATTGTTTTTACTGCTTTTGAAGTCCCTCTCTAAGGCGTCAAACGCCCTGCAGTGAAAAAAAAAAAAAAAAAACACTTCTGCGGAAACTTGTGAATGTCGCACACTTGTAGGTGTGTGAACAACAACATTTTCACACATTGAAGATCAACTTTGTGAAAAATTACTTTTCTACTCCCTGAAGTGTACGAATGGGCATTGATGCATCTAGAACTGTGCGACATTCACATACTAGCGTTTACAGTGTGGTCTTTCTAAAAAAGCTTGCTGAACTAACACACGACGGTCTCGACGACGACGAGGTAGACGCTGCATCGACGCTATGGCCTCCTTGGTTTCGGACGCTGACCGGTAACCGTTATTTGCTCCCCTCCTCTCTCTGCAGAGTCGCCCCACCGTTATGCCGACTCCGAGGTGACGATCCGCTACCGGTCGCCCGTGTCCGCGGCGCGCGCCCCGGACGCTGGCCGGCCGATGAGCGAGCAGGAGCTGAGCCGGCGGCAGGCCGAGGCCATGCGCAGACTCTACCAGGAGGAGCGCCGGCGCAAGTACCTGCACGAGCTGCAGGACATCAGCTCCCGCCGGCACACCGACAACTTCACGTGAGTAACATTCGACGGATTTCGAGGAATATGGGGAGATATATCGGGAGACTTGGTTTTGAAATTTTCAAAATTTTTCGGAAAATTACCAAAAACTTCCAGGAAATAAAGGAAAACTTCCAATCACTATGAAAAATGTCGTCGTAAATTTACAATTTTTTTGAAAATTCGGATTATAATTTAAGCGTAAATTTACGAGGGCCAAATTTATTACTCGCCAATGGGTTAAGTCACTACTTACTGCATGTATTTTTACGATTTCAAATTGTAATTTTACAACTTGCGTCAAGGAAAATTTTCCTGTAAACCCACCTACTATTTTTCACAGTGAAAGTCTGGGAACTTGTCTATTTTTTCCCGGAAATTTTCCTTCCTTTTTTTCCCGATAGGAAAATTTGTGTTTTCTTTGCCAGCGCATTAATGACAATGAAGGGAAGCAGGCCAACGAACTGTGCTGTGTGCGTCTGAAAGCAGAGGCTCGTAAACACAATGCCGGATTGCGGAGCACGCCGTCTGGTCTGCCGCCCAGACTGATTCCGCGGGGCGGGCGGGGTGGGCGTGGGTTGGGCGCACACCCCAACAGCGTCGCTCCAACGCTTCCGTCAGGTGCGCTTTCCCTTTTGATGGACTCTCGCTTCATTGTGTTCGTCGTTTGGATCGTTCTCTCTCTCTCGTGGACCACACACCGGGGGTTTCGAGGAGAAGGGGGGGGGGCACCCCCGGGGAGGGACGCGGTGCTGCTGGAAACCAAACAAAGCGTGTATAGCCCTTGGGAGTCTGTCGTCCGCTTATATACTGCCATACCGAGGGTGGCCCAACGGTCCATAGACAGCCCTCTTGTCCCCCGTTTCATTCTCTGTTTCTGTCTCCTTTATCGCGAAAAAGTATAAGAAGGTCAAAATTTATCATTCGTGACACTAATTTACGTGGTTTTGTGGTTTAGCTCGTCTGTGACAGAGCGAGAGGGAGCGGGAGTGGGAAAGCGAGGGAGAGGGGGGGGGG